ATTGTAGAATATCTTTTAATTGATATTTCTGTATTTATGCCTTCAAATTCTCTTTTGTTAATTTATTATTCTCTAATTTTCCTTTATTTTCATTTTTCATTGAACATGTAATACCATTCTATTGTATGTATCGAATATTAAAATAAATTATTTTGTTTTATTTATAACAACTAATGACATAATGATTATATTTTATTATTCTTTATATTGAAAATTAACTTATTTAAAAGTAGAAATAAATGTTTTAAAAAAAATTTGGATTAACATTTTCCAAGAGAAGAGCACACTTCACTAACAACGAATTTTGATGGGTCAAATGTATGAAGAGCTTTCATAGCCATATTCATAGCTTGGTGATAACACTCTTTTTGTCTATCAGCGTTAATTCTAGTACAAACACTTCTTAATCTATTAATGATAATAGAGTCTGATTCATGATGAACAATACCATATTTGGCAACTTTACCAAGTTTTCTACAAATCTTACAATCAGTTTGTTTATTGCATTTCTTTCCTTCTGGACGAAGAGCAGCCTTTAATTTTCCAATTCTGAAATGAGTTTTCTTGATCTTTCTAACAGTTTTTTCAATTGAATTGTCGAGTTCTTCAATACTGGAATCAATAACTTTAAGTCTTCTAACAGCATGTTTTTGTTTGTTTGAATCAATAGTATAAAGAGCAGTCTTAGAAACAACTGGTCTTTCTTTTTGTTTAGCAGCAAGTCTAACCTTAAGATCAGAAAGTTTAACCTTCAACAATCCATCATATTCATGTGATAATTTCAAAGCTCTAACAATAACTCTCTTTTCTTGTTTTTGAACAGTAGCAAAATCAGCATCAATATCAGACATAGCTTGTTTGACAAGTCTCAATCTATCATTTAATGCATTCTTATTAACAGCATATGGTTGTTTTTTGAAAATTTCATTTTGTTCAGCTTGATAAACAGCCATCTTTCTCTTAAGAGAAGCCTTTCTCTTTTCAAATGTACCAAATTTCTTGTTATATTTCTTAAAGACAACTTTTGCTCTTCTAATAGCAGTGTATTGATTATGTCTAAAGAACAATTGATTAACTTTTTGAATTCTCTTAACGACCTTGAACAATTTTAATTGAACTCTCTTTCCTTCTTTTCTAATAAAGGAAAGTTCTTTGTAAAGTCCTTTCATAGCTTTTAAGACAGTAGTCTTTTTGATTGTATTATGAATATCAGTTTCTCTCTTAGCAAGTGCCTTCAATTCACTTAATAACCATGCTTGTCTTGCATATAATTCTGATCTTCTTGTGTGTAATCTATTAATAGCTTTAGTTCTAAGTGTGATATATCTAGAGTGTGCAGTACTAACCTTTAATTTCATGTCCTTTCTTGAAGCAATAGTTCTTTCTAATTTCTTAACATATTTCTTCATTAATCTTATAACTCTAACTTGTTTGAATGGTGAGTTCTTACACTTATCAATTTTTCTCTTAAAGATAGCAACTTTAACTCTTAATCTATTGATAACAACTTTCATTCTTTTAGCAATGGCTTTTTTATTCTTATAATATTTTCTTGCGGCTTCAAGTTCTGCTTTTCTTAATTGTTCAAGTTTTCTAATAACATGTCCATTTCTTTTAACAAATCTTCTAATAGTATTCTTTAATTGTTTTTCAATATTTTGAAGTGTTCTTACTTTAACCATTAAAATATCTTTTTGAGTTGAATTCTTTCTAACTCTAACAGCCATAATTTGATGTCTAACTCCATTTAACTTTCCTTTCAAATGATTTAATTTTCTTACAATTTTAGCAATTCTCTTCTTTTGAATTAATCTAATTCTTCTTTCAATAGATTCTACACGTATTTTTAATGAATGAATTCTTTTGTTATTTCTTCTAATCTTTCTAGTGGCAATTGAAACTTCTTTTTTATAAACTCTTAATCTTCTTTTAATTCTTAATCTATTTAATGGACATAATCCCATTCTTTTTTGAAGTTTCTTCAATTTATCAATTCTTGTTAAGAACTCTTTCTTAGTAACTTTAGCAGCATCTTTAGATAATTGATGTTCACTAATTCTAATCTTTGCATCAGCCATTTTTAATCTCAAAATTCTTAGTTTATAATTTCTGATTGTCTTCTCTCCTTTTTCTTCAAAGAGTTCAAGTGCACTTCTAGCTTTTTCAAGAATATTCATTGCTGCATTCTTTTTATCAGTTAATTTATTTAATTCCATAGCATCTACTTTTCCTGTTTTTTTAGCACTATGAATTAATGTATTAATTCTTTTTTGAATAGCATTAACGGCAGTAACAGCTTTAGCAACTTCTAACTTTCTAAGTTTTTGATCATATTTCCATCCTTTTTTATAATTATTCATTCCCTTAATTACATTAGCAATATGATTCCATCTAGCTTTTCTTTGTGATTTTCTTAACTTATGAATATTAACTCTAGCCTCAATTCTCTTTAACATAGTTACAGCTGTTTTTTGTTTATTAATTAATTTCTTTCTTTCTTCTTCATTTTCTACTTGATCAAGTTCTCTTTCAATCTTTTTGACCATATGTTTAATAGCAGATACTCTAGCAATTCTTTCTAATTGTCTTAAGGCTCTTTTAATATATTGATTCTTTTTAGCTTCAATATCTTTCTTAGTAGTAGTAATTTTAGCATGTAACTTTTGTTGTTTATATTCCATTCTTTTATAATCTCTTTCAGCTTCTGAAAGCTTTTTTGTATAATGTTGAAGTCTTTTAGCAATTTTTTCTACTTTTAAAGTTTTATGTGTGACTTTATGACTTAATTTAAGTTTATCTGCAACAGCTTTCTTAATAGCATCAGCTACTTTTTTATCTGCAACTGATTCAGTAGAATTACTCTTTTTGGCTTCTAAACGAGCTTTAGCTGGTTCAAGGTCAAGTGCTTTAATTTGAGCATTAAGTTGTGCAATTTCATTAGAAACTGATTTCTTTTCATTTGTAGTTGAGTCACGAACTTTTTGATAAGTTTCTTTTCTTGCCTTTAATACAGCTAATTGTTTCTTTATATGTTGTTTTAAATGGTCTTGATGTTTACGTGCCTTTAAGAGTTCAACAGCAAATTTCTGTTCAGCTTTCTTTTCTAATTTTCTTCTGTCTTCGTGTGAAATATAAGGATCTACCCTGATTACCTCAGTAGCAAAAGTGAGGAGAACAAATGTAAGGAATACAATGCTTCTCATTGATAGTATGATTTTTCAGTTATTTTTTTTTCAGTTTCTTTCTATATTTGATATAATTTAATTAAACTTTAACTATATTTATTTTTTTATGAGTTTCTTTTTTTTTTTAACATTTATTTTTAAGTTGATTTTTCTTTTTTCTTCTTTTTTAAAAATAACTATTGATTTTTCTAAACTTTAAGACTTTTGAATGTTATAAAAAATAAAAAACATAAAATTGATATTTAGAAATTACAATAACAAATGACTTTAATAAATAAAAAACATTCACTAAACAAAGTTCCAACATTAACTTACAATTAAAAACGCATGAACTATTTAACTATTCATATTTATAGATTCAATAATCTGAAAGTAACTATTTCATTTATTAAGAAATTTCTATTTTTTTTTTTAGAGTTTAGTATTAAAGGGTGTTGATCGAGAATTTACAACGTTAGTAGTAAAAAATTATAAAGATATTTTTTTATTCATTAAATTTCAAAATTATTCATAAAATAGTACCTTAAAAACAAGAAATTAAAACATTAAATAAAAAGTATTAATTAGAACAAAAAAAAAAATTGATAGTTGAAAAAAAAAGAAATATTTTAATGGGCATAATGAGAACATGCAACGTATGGTGAATTCAATGGTTGGACAAATCCTCCAGCAGTAGACTCAACTGGAGTAACAAACTTTGTTGGTTTATAGTATCTTGGTTTTTGTGGGACGTATTTCTTAACAACTGGTGTATTGAACATCTTTTTAACTAATTTCTTAACTTGTTTCTTAGCAACTTTTTTGACAACCTTTTTAGCTTGTTTCTTAGTTTGCTTTTTAGCAACTTTCTTTACAGAATCTTTATTTGCTAACTTCTTTCCATTTAATTTCTTAGCTGCTTTAACTGCTTTTTTAGATAATTTAACTGCTTTTTTAATTATATTCTTAGCAATACGTTGATTTCCAGTAACTACTTTTTGGAATGCCTTTTGTTCAAGTGTAACTACCTTTTTAATTACTTTAGCAATTTTTTTTGATGATTTTTGTTTTGGAATCTTTGAAACAGATTTTTTAGCAATTTTAACTGCTTTTTTAATAAGTTGTTGTGCCTTACGAGCATTACCTTTTGCAATAACTTTTATAGCTTTCTTTTCAGTCTTAGCTGATTTCTTAATTAATTTACTTGCTTTCTTTACACTAACCTTTTTAGATTTTGCTCCAAGTGATTTTTGTGCTTTCTTCATTTGATTTTGAACTTTACTAACTTGTTTGATAGCGTTTTTAACATTACCATTAAGAAGTGATTTAACTACTTTCTTTTCTGTAAGTATTGCTTTATTAGCAAGTTTAACAGCTTTTGTTACTGTCTTAGCTTTAACTGCTGCTTTATTTCCTGCTTTTTTAACAATTTTTTTTGCTTGAGCAACTTCTTTATTAGCTTTATTAATGTTTCCTTTAGCAGCATCTTTTACTGCTTTCTTCTCTAATTTAATTGCTTTTTTAACAGCTTTCTTGACTGATTTCTTTTGTGATTTCTTAACAACTTTAGTTTTAGCAATATTCATAGCTTTAACTTGTTTTTTAATGGCTTTCTTAACTAAAGAACCTGCTACATTTTTCATTTGAGCAGCAACTTGAATATTTCCATTTTGTTTAGCAACTTTTTCTTCTTTTCTAGCTTCTTTAGCCTGTTTAATTAATTTAGATGCTTTATTTAATTGTTTCTTTACTGCTTTTTTGACTTGTTTCTTAGTTGGGACAACAGCTTTTTGTTGTTCTTTAACAGCTTTTTTAACAAGTTTAGTTGACTTTTTCTTTAAATCTTTAGCAACAACTTTGTTTCCTGATGACTTGGCATTAATAGATTTCTCTTTAAGTGTCTCAGCTTTTCTTAAATTATTTACTGCTTTAGCTTTGTTCTTACTAACTTCAATTCCAGTTTGTTTTCCTGCATCAACAGCTGGAGCAGCAATTGCAATTGATATCAACAATAAGAAGAAGAACATTATAAAATTTTCAGTTCCATATAACTAACTTAAATACCATTTTTCTTATAAGTATTTACTCCTATATTTCAGGTTTTTCATTATTTCTTTTATTTTCTTCGAATTTAATCTTTTTTTCTATTATTTTCTCACCATACACTTTTTCTAAGTACTTTTATGTGACTTTTCTACCTCAAATTTTTTTTTTTTAATAAAAATTTAATATTAAAATAAAATAAAAGGAAGAAAAAGTTATTTTAATTGTTTTCAATAGTTTAAGATTAAATTGTTGGAGTAATTTCTTATTAAATCTATTGATTTTATTTTAGTTAAATTTACTATAAAGATTTAAATAAAAAGTAAATTAATTAAATTGTCGTAGATTTAGATTTATTTTCTATTATTCTTTGCTCATAAGAAACTAATTACTTCTTTGTGTTTTAAAGGTGTTTGTTCATTAACTATTCACTTATTCTTTATCATCTTATTGTTGAGAATTATGAACTTCTATCACTCTCTCTTTTATTTCTATTGAATTAATACCTTTTCATATTTCATCAATTTATTCTTCATTTAAATACCTACCTCATTTCTATTTAATTGTTATGAATATTAATACTTTTTTCTTTGACTTATTTTCCTCTTTTATGATGAATAAATATATTCCTTTACCATTATATCGTTATGACCTATTTCATTTATCACCAACACCATGAAAGTCTTTTTTTCTGATAATAACCCCATTTATGTTTAATTCAAACTATTTATTATTAAATATACTTATACTTCCCAAAGTAATAAATAATACTTTTATTATAATAAATAATATTCTATAGTCATAAATTAATAATTATTGTCATTATTGAAGTATTATATAAGATAGTTTCTAACCAATGTCAAAGTTATTACCATATTATAACTGATGGCTTGAGGCTTGTACTTATTTCAATATTTATATAGTGTTTCTTTTGTTTGATCCTTCATGTCCAAACACAATAAAAATTAATCAAAAAATATAAAAATTATAAATGAAAAGCGAAATTGTATTAAATCTTAACTTGGTTCTCAGCTAATTTATTTTGTGCTTTTTGAATAACTGGACTTAAATGTGCTTTTTGTGCTAAACGAGCCATAACCATTTCAGGACATTCGGCTTTCTTAACAAATCCCTGAGACTCTTTTATAACTCCAAAAGCAAGAGACTTTGGAATTACACCTCCAATATCTTTGTTAGTTTTAATTCCTTTTTTAACAACTTTTTTTTCTAATTTAGTAAGAGTTGGTGTTTTCTTAACAGCAGCTTTCTTTTCAACTTTTGTAACTTTCTTAGCAGCTTTCTTTTCAACTTTAGCAATCTTTTTATTATCTTTTTTTATATTTTTTTGAGCTTTAATAACTTTTTTTTGAGCTTGAGCTAATTTCTTTTGTTGTTTTTTCTGGGTTGTTTTACTTGTAGTTTGTTGGATTTTTTTTTCAGCTTTTGCAACTTCTTTCTTTGCTTTATCTAATTTCTTTTGTTGTTTTTTAACGTCTTTCTTAATTTCTTTCTTTTCACCTTTAGCTTTAGCAACAATCTTCTTCTTTTCATCTTTCTTTACTGATTTCTTTACACTTGAAACAACTTTTTTTTGAACAGCAACAGCTTTATCTGCTAATGTAGATGCTTGTGTAGCTAATTTTACTGCAGCCTTTTTATTTCCTTTATCTAATTCTCCCAATGCTTTTTTATGTAATAATGCAGCCTTTTCTGTCATAACCTCAACTTTAGCAGCTTTCTTTGGACAAGATTCTGAAGCAGTTTTAACATTAACTTGAATAGCTTTCTTTAAAGTATTAACTTTCTTTATTGATTTTTGAGCAGCCTTTTTTTCTTCTTTCTTAATTTGTTTTTTTAAATCTTTCTTAATTTGAGCAGGAACTACTTTTTTAGTATTAGTCTTTTTAACTGATTCTTTTGGTTTTAAAGCACTTTTTCCTAATTGTTTTCTATATTTATTTTCAGTTTTAATTGCTTGTTTTTTTAGTTTTAATTCTTTAACTTGTTTTTTAGCAACTTTAGCTTTCTTCTTTTCATTAGCAGCTTTTTTAATAGTTTTATTAAACTTATTTTGTAGTTGAGCTACTTTTTCTGTATTTCCTTTCTCTTGTGCTTTAACAATTTTCTTTTGAATTTTTTCTGCTTTTTTGACATATTTTTTAGCTTTTTTTTGATCTTTTTTTACTTCTTTTTTTGCTGTTTCAACTTTTTTAGAAGTTTTATCAGTAGTTTTCTTAGGAGTAGCTTTCTTAACAACAACTTTAGTTTTATCTTTTTTGTCATCAACAAGTTTATCTAAGTTAATAACTTTATCACCAGCTGGTGCTTTAGTTGATTGTTCTACTTTATGAAGTAATTTAGATTGTTGATTAAGAATAGTCTGATGGGCATGAGCACCATCTTTAGATGCATTTTTATCAATAGTATCTTTTAAGTTATCAATAATTTTATTCTTTTGGCTAACTTCTTGAATAACCTTTTTTAAAGCTTTTTCTACGTTCTTAGTTCTATCAACAATAACTTTTTCTTCTTGTCCTGAGTAAGGTAAAGCAAAACCAAATGAGATAAGTAATAAAAGTGTAAACATTATGAATAATTAGATCAAATGAATTGATTAAATTGAAAAATGAAATGATAAAAACGAAATACTTGATTTATCTATTTTTACTAAATTTTTAACAACAACTTTTTGTATTTATAACCATTTCTGTTTTTAACTTCATTCGGAGTACGAATTTGTAATGTTTTGTTCTACCACAAATCCAATCAAAGGAGATTAAGAACCTCCATGTTATTTTTTGTGTGGAATATATCCAACAACAATTCAAAATACTTTTTCTATTTCTATTTTTAGTTTTTTAACACCAATCTACTCAAGCTTATTATCTTTTTTTCAAATGAACCTCTTCAAATTGGCTCTAATTCATTAATAAGAACTGAGAACTTTCAAATTCATTATCAACTTATTAGTTATTGATATGTTGACTATTTAAATTAAGTTATGTCTGCTCTAAACTCTAAATTGTACTTAAGAATTATCAACTACCATACTCTATACACCAACAAAGTACTGCCATTGCTACAGACTTAAGAACCTATTATTATTTGAACATTCTTTGAATACTAAGAGAAGTGTTAGTAGAGCTAGTTATGTCTTAAATGCAGTAAGTGATATTAGTTTATTATGAGAGATATTCCTAATTAAAAAAAGAACAGAAATGCTACATTATAGAAGCATTTATTCCAATCCATCTTGACTTTGCTATTAAATATGAAAAAATAAAAAAAAAGATAAAAGTTTAGTTTTACTTAGTTCAATGACCATTTTTGTTTAAGAAGTTTAGCCCAATTTTGGTTCATAAGGATTTGGGCGTTTCTAATTCTTGGGTTAGTACTAAATGGGAAAACAAGTTCAACAGGGGTTATGATAATGGTTTTATTACATGATGGAGCTTGTTTAACTGATTTTTTCATAGTTTTTCTGTAAGCTGCTTTAGCGGCTTCCTTAGCTTTAACCTTAGCAGTTTCAAATAAAGCTTTAGTCTCTTTAGCTTCTTTAATTACATTGGTTGAATGAGCGGCGTCTTTACCATCCTTCTTAGTTTTATTTGCACTTTTAGCAATTTTCTTAGTATATTTTTTCATAACAGTTTCATAAGCAGCTTTAGCAGCAGCCTTAGCCTCTTTTTTAAGAGAAGCTGATACTGGTTTCTTTCCAAGAGCTTGTTTGTATTTATTTTCTGTTTTAGTTGATTGTTGTTTTAATTGTTGTTTTTTAACAATTTTTTCTGCTTTTTTTGTGGCTTTTTGTTGAGTCTTCTTTTCCATTTTAGCAACTTTTTTCTCTGCCTTTTTAATTTCAGCTTTTTGAACTTGTTTCTTTTGTTGCTTTTCAACTTTAGCAACTAATTTTTTGGCTTTCTTTGCGGCTTTTTTAGCAGCTTTATTATCTCCCTTCTTAGCAAGTTTATTTGCTTTTTGTTGTTCTTTTTTAGCTTTAGCAACTAATTTGGCTGTTTTCTTAATGTTCTTAGTTGCTTTTAATCCAGCAGAAGCTTTTTTCACGGCTTTTTTAATAGCAATTTGTTTGTTTTCATAAAGGCTATCAAGATCAACAAGTTTATCTCCAGATGGTGCTTTAGTTTCAAGAGTTTTTTTAGTAATAAGTTCAGCAACTTGATTGTTAAGTTGAGTGAGTTGGTCATTGGCTGATGCAAAGTCAATGGCATTTTTACTGATTTTAGTCATTAGGGCATCAATTTCTTCTTTATGATTTTTAACTTCCTCACCGGCTTTAGTTAATTTTTTTCCTAATTCAGTAATACGTTTAGCAATAATTTGTGACTCAAGGTCAGTATATGGGAAAGCAAATGCTGCACAAATGAATAAAACAAATAACATTGTAAAATATGATTTTTAAGATCATATTCAATCTGCAAATAAATTCTGTTTTTTTTTAAAATATATCTTCTGTTCTATTTTTAATTATAGTTTAAATAATTAATAAATTTAATTATTACTTATTATTAAATTGATTCTTCCTTTTTCTATTTTCTCTATGATTTTTGTATTTTTCTTTTAATAATTTTCGCTTAGCGAGAAAAAAAAAACAAATTATAAAAATATTAAAATTTGTTTTTCTTAACACTTTGTTAAGTTCAATGAAACTCTTATTTTAATGAAGATATTCATTTATACTTTGTGAATGAGATTCTGGTGTTGGAAAAGAGTGTGGGAGTATTGGTTTATGAATTGTTGAGTTTATTTCTTCATTTTGAAGATCATTCATATAATCACACATTTCTCCTAACGACATTATTTGTATTTTTTTATCTTTGCAATACTCTAAGAAACCTTCAACTTCAGGTAACGTATATTCTCTATCATGAACTATTACAATATCCCCATTACAAATTCCATGTTTAAGAATAAATGATGTATAACTACAATTTTTTATTTGTGCATCAAAGGCATGACATGATCCAATAACCATTTTATATCCATATTTCTCAAGAGAATCATACATAAAAGATGAAGGAATACCTGATCCTGGCCTAAACCATCTATACCTTTGATTCAATGAGTATGGTTTCATAACTTCATCTGTCTTAATGAATGAATAGATGTTTTCTAGAAAATTGATTTAAAAAACAAACTCTTCTCAATTTATCTTCAAATTCTTCTTTTGTATTTTTGAATGATGGTTCATCGTAATATGTATGATTTCCTATTTCATGTCCTTCTTCAATTATCCGTTTCATTTTTTCTTCTCTTCCATTAACTCTTTCACCAATAATAAAAAAGGTAACATGAACTCCATATCTTTTAAATAAATCTAAAAATTCTTGTGTTTGATTTGAAGGTGCATCATCAACTGTTAATGCAATAATTTTTGTTTTTATTGAGAAATAAAATAATGCTTTTGAATTAATTTTGTTAATTATCCACATTAACCATCGTGCTTGAAATAGTACTGAGTATATAATAAATAATAATAAACTAACAATGATAAGGAGTAATAAGATAATGATTGCCCATCCAATACCATTCATTTTTCTGTAAAAATTCTTTTTTTGTAGTTTTTTTTCTTTCTAAAAGTTTTCAAAATCAGATTTATTAAACTTTTTACTTTTTTAAATGAGTCAAAACAAAAATAAACTTAAAAACTTTTTTTAATCTTTAGAGCCAAATTGTAATTTATCTAATTCTAATTTCTTTTTTTTCATAAATTCTAATGTTCGTTCTGTATTTTTGTCTCTTGTTTTATTAAAAAAGTTCCTACTAATTACACCAAATTTTTTTCTTGATGAATTTGTTTCATTTAATTTAGGTTTATATTCTGTTTGTTTATTTTCTATATTACTTTTTGTTTCACTATTATCTAATTCATCACAATCAATTACACAGATGGTTCTTTCTTTATTCATAAATTCTAATGATAATAATGAGATAGTTTTATTCTATTCTATTTAGAGATAAATTTATTATTCTATTTCTTTTTAATTTTTTTATTATTCTTTTATAATTATATAAAATTCCTTATTTTAATCTCAGAAAAAATTTTAAAATATTTTTCATTATATTCATTCCTCAATCTTTATTGCGTCTTATCCTTTTACTTTTTTTATTCTGTTTTGTTCTTATTCTATGTGTTAATTATTCTTGTTTCATCTAATAAATTTATGGAAAATTAATGGCTTTAAAAGCATATCAATTTAAACGGCAAATGTCTGATATTCTGATCCAGCTTTCTTGCAACAAAATGTGAATTTAACACCATCAACAAGAAGTGAAGGAAGACCAATCCAGAAGAGATAATTTGGTATAATTTCCAACCCTTTCTTATGTAAAACAAAGATATTCAAAATAACGGTAATAATAATATAAAAACCAATGAGCACAAAAAGAACAATACACAAAATAAGTCCAGTAATTGGGAATGTTTTATTTGATGGACAGGCATCAGGAGATGTAAATGAGAAAATAAAAGTACTTCCTTCAATTTGAGCCTTAATATTAGAAGAGGTATCTTCAGTACCACAAGTTACTTCTACACGAGAAGATAATTGAAGACTAGAATCTCCATCATATGTAAATCTAAGAGTTTTACCGTCATTGACAAGTTCAAGAGATTCAGTTGAAGTACTTCCCAAAACAATTTTTTCTTTATAAGTTTCTAAATAAGCAAGAACAGATACATCAGAGGTATCATACCCTTCTAATTGAGTGGTAATTGGTCCACACAAATTGAAATAAACATAAGTGTCAGCATCTGCTTTTTTGAAAACATAGTCTGTATTTTTGTGAATGTTTTTAAAGTCTTTACATTTAATAGCAAATACACAACTAATGAATAAGACAAATAACAACTTCATTTGTGATAGGCAGATCTCCTACCAAATCTTTAAAATCTCAAAAGATTGTTTTTTCTTCATTTTGTCCTTCTTCTTTTCTTTTTGAATTTTCTTTATTTTAAAAGAAGTATTAAAATGGAATATATAACAAAAACTCATGTGTGTTTGACTGTTTAATGTTATTATTAATTAAATAAAACACCCTTATAGCCTATTCTAATTAGTTAGTTGTATTACTTTCAACTACAATAAAATTTACAACTCCAAAAAAAGTATTTTTATGTTAGGTATGAAGAGTCTTTTTTAACTTATAAATATAAAGAAAATATTTCAGCATAAATGAAAATGGTTTGAAATTTAAAAAAGTCGAAGACGACGTTGTACTCTTCTTTGATATATCTTATACACACACACAAGTATACTTATCATAAATAAAATAAGTATACAAAATATAGGTATTAACATTAAGTACCATAATTGTTTTTGATTTGTTAGTTCATCTTCATTTGTAAGGTGATCCGTTGGACATACTGGTAGTTTTGTAGAGTTTGAAATATACAAATAATCAAAACATAATACAGAAACATATCCAAATGTCAACTTTTTAATAGTATTATTTTCTCTGCTATAAACAGATATCACATCAAGAGGTGGAATAATTGATGACTTAAGGATAAAATTATGTAGTATTGATGAAACGAAAATAACAACATTATCTGATTCTATAATAGAGTTAACTCCTTTCATAATCATTTTATTAGTTTGTTGGTACATGATTAGATTGGATGATATTATATGTTTAAATTTCATTGGTTCATTAGTGATAAGATAAAGTAATGGGGCTTCAAGAAAAATAATATTCCCTTCTTTTGTTGAATTAATAATAAGAGGGATAGTTTCTTTTCTGGTAATTTTTTCAATAACAAAAGATTTAAGTCTTAATATTATTAAGTCTTTATTAAAAACATTAAGATTTGTTATTATACAATCAGTAAATGTTGCATTAGCATTTAACTCAACATAATGAGCAATTACTGTCTTTTGAAAGATACAATTTGTTTCAATAATTAATCTGGATATGTTAATTAGTGGTTCATTTATTATTGATGAATAAATGATAACGTCACAATAAATCCCTTTGCAAGGACAATTATCATTTTTCCATCCATTATCATATTTGCATACAACTCGTGTTTTTGGTATTTCTTCGGTTGTAAGATATCTTTGTTCATCATCAATATAAATATTTTTTAATGTATCAACTTTTACAAGGCTCTTTTGAGAAGTTTCGACAATTACACCTTTTGCCATTCCATCAAATTCAAAAGACTCCATTTTAAATGGTTTATCATTTCCAATGATAAATAATGGACTTTCAAAGAAGTTGGAATAAATTATCATTGACAAACATTCAATACCATTTGGAATATTGATATGTTGACTAGTAATATTAATCATAAAATTACTTGGAACATTACTAGGGAGTGTTAACATTGCTGAAGATGTTATGTAGATACTGTCTGTTAGAATTGTATCAAATATAATATTTTTTGTAATAAAAAATTTTGACTGTTTTGCATTAAGAAATATAGTAGCTTCTACATTCAAGTTTATAGAAAACATTTGATTTCCAATTATATGAATATATAATGTTACATAATTATTATTACTATTAAATGTTTGGTTAGACACAGGATAGTACTCTGAAATTGATAATTGACCATCTAACATGAAAACAGTGTTATCACTTACTTCAATTGAATGAAAATTTCCTCTCATATTTTCTAAGACTTGCATATCTTTTGCAACTAAAGAACATAGCTCATGACTATATTTTGTTTTCACTTCTGTGAAACCACATGGACAATTTAAAGTATCATATGCTTTACTAGAATCCAAAGGCTCATCAGGATGAGTAACAACACATCTTTGAATTCCACAATTAAAGAGAGTCATTGGACTATTGCAAACAATGACCTTATTTTTACATGCGATTTCTAAGTCAAAGGTGTTTGGAGAAAATGAACTAATCATAATTGTTTGAGGTAATGTTTTAAATTCTGCAAGTTCAAAGCATGTGTTCATTGGAAAATTAATGAATTTGGTTAAATACATTGTGAATGACTCTCTTGAATGATAATTAATTGGTGGTTCTAATTGATGAATATATTCTAGAATACCTTGTTTCATTGAGAAGGAGCTACCATTTAGGAGTTCAATTTTTGTATTATTTAAAAGAACAAATGAAGGAGAGAAAAGTTTATTGATGTTTATATTATTTACTGTCATTCTTGTTTGATAAACAGTATCTACAATAACGTTTTGTGAACTTACAAACTCTCCATTCCCTGAAATACTTCCGATTTGACAATTAGAAAAAAATGAGATACATCTATTTTCTGGAATTTGAATAGATTTAATATAGGTTGACTTACATTGAATTGATATATTCTGAAAGACAAACAGAGTGTCATCTATCCATAACGACTTTAAATTGAATGATGTTGTAATGTTTGTTTCCAAGTTATTTGTATTAATACTTCCATAAACAGAACTTGTTTTGATAATAATAGTACATCCTTCAAGACTATCAGAAGTACAAGGACAAGTTGAGGCACTACTTTGTAACATATCATAAGAAGATAACAAATTTGCATTTTCTTTAATTAAAACACATGTCTTATATATTCCAAAGAGTATACACTTTATACCATTTATTTGGTTTGTTCCAGAAGTAAATAATACCTTTTGATCACAATGAATAAAACTAAATGTTGGTTGTTGGTATTGAATGCCATTAGAAACAACTAATAATGGAATTGTTTCTTTTGTTGCTACATTAGAATCTACTACAACCCAATTAACAATAGACTCATTCTTCAATATTAAAGAAGAAATTTTAATCATAGGGTTATTATTTTGGTTATCCCAATTTAGGGAGTATTCTATTGTTTCAACAGTAAGACTTTCTGAAATAATAAGAGTACCAAATGAAGAGATTATTTTCTGAATATCTAAATCTTTAGATTTAAATTCAGAAAAATCTTCTAATTTTAATAAAAGAAATGAGGCATGTGTTGTACATTCGACTGTAGATTCAATAAGAGATAATGACAGTTCTGTTCCATATATTTTTGTTATATGAAGATTAAGTTTTCTTATAGAAAAATATGTTTTTGGTGCCACTCTTAAATTTGTTATGTATGAAATATCGTATGAATTAGAATCAATACTCAAACCAACCCAACTAATTGTTTGAACATTCTTTGAAACTATAACATCATGAAAGACTCCATAAAGAGGAGAATCTATTCTATCAACATAAACACTAGATCTATCAGAAGTAAATTTATTTGCATTAGAACATTTAATATTAATATTATCTGAAGAAATAGATATTCCATTAGAAGAAACACAAATAAATGGAGGACATGTATTCTTTTTAAGTTCAGAAAAAGAGAAGAATAGATCATAGTCATAAGGGTCTTCTGATATTAAATTTATTAATAAGGCTGATGATATAGCTAACAGGCCACAATTTGTTTTTACTTTTGGTGTTGATATTGGTGATAAAATAAGAGGAATAGATGACGAAATAAAAATCTTATCAGAACATGATTCTTCTGCATCATTAACAATAATTGTTGGTTTAGAGTAATCAATTGGATGAATATAAACAGAAGAAGAACATAAAACTTTTTGAAAAGTTAAAGTAATTTGGTTCTTAGTTCGAACAAAGATTTTTGAATTTTCTTTAGTTATTTTAATAATAGTGTTTTCAGTCAGTGTTAAAGTTGAATTAGATAAATTAATAGTAATGATGTTTTCTTCTCTTTTTGTTTTATTGTGGCTAAGACACAATTCATTCATTTTAGAACTTATGTTTGATTGAAATAAATATTTTTTAGAACTTGACACAAATAATTGAGATTGGTTTTGATAAAGTAATGATAAATTTTCTGGTATTGTTGTTTGAATGTTAGTATAATCAAAAGTAGTTGAGTATAAATTATTTAGTCTATTTAACTTGGAATAGAAAGAATCTTTATTATGAAAATTGATATAATTAATGAGTGATGAATTGAAATTTAAAAACATAACACTGCTTTCAAAAAAGTTATTAGTAAAGACATTGTGTATTAGAGATACAATAACCATTTTATTATATTGTATTTTTTCTGAAGTAAATATAGATGAATGAATTATATTAATTGTTTGTGCATGTATATTCTTTATTTTAGTTTTAATTTTTGAATATATTAATGTGACAAGATTTGAAGTAATATTAACAAAATAGTCTATTGAAAGAGAATTAATTGTTAATGACTTTGTGTAAATATTAGAAACATTAAACAATGAAGCGTTAGAAAGAGATTTTATTCTCATTGTGTCAACAACAATTCCATCTATATTAAATGAAGAATTTCCAATAAAGATAATAACATTATTTATAAACGATGTTAAATTTTTATTTATTAATATTGAATTATACAATTCAAGTCTTTGAATTAATGATGAATTATCAAAAAAATTAATATAAGAATTAAATGATTGAAATACAGTAATGTTTGTATAATAAAGAGAAATAGTTATTTCTGGGTTATCAATAATAACAGTACTAATAGTATCATTAATGAATTCTATATGTGATATATCTGGTGATTGTAATATAAGTTGTCGAATATGAATATCATGAATTTGGTGTAATAATCCTTTTCTAATAATTAAAGAATTAAAAACAATATCTTGTAACATAGAGCTATTATAAAGTATATTACAATTTAACTCAACTATACTAACTTGGTTATTTAAGTTACATAAATTTCTTTCTTTTTCTATCAATTTACCAAACCAAATCTTATTTCTAGAACATCTTGATATACACTGAACCTGACTTTGAGTTTCAAAATATGAGCCTTCTTGAGAATAAACAATTTGGTTTTTATTTTGTAAGACTCTATAAGAACCACAAATTGAAGTCGTATTAAACCATTTTAATAATACAGAATATGATCTAAAAACAATAACTGGTATTCCAATAATACATAAGTTGTGAATCTCTATATCATAACTATCTCCTATTATTATTTCTTTTAAACTAACATTACCATAAATATTTAAAGTATCTATATTAATATTAGAGTCAGTAGTAGTATTAGAGAATAAAAGAGAAGAGTTAACTAAAGTAATTTCAGTAAATGAAATATTGTTTGACTTATTTTCATTAGACCCAATAAGAACAATACCATTAATAATCTCTATAGAAGAAAACTCACTTTCAAATATAGAAATAAAATAGTTCTGAGAAACTATTGTTGAGTGAATAACTTTTTCAATTAGCCCATTTCCTATAAACTCTATACTTGAATTATTAATTGTCTGAATATTACAACCATTACGAAAAATTATTTTTGCTTTTTTGTTTTGTATTTGCATCGGACTTGAACAAATTATGTTTTCACTTAAACATGAAACAGAAAAAAGTAAGATAACCCATTCAGTTATTGTCATTACCAATTCACTTTTTAAGTTTTCAGTTTTTAATAGTAAGAAATTTAAAAACATGTTTTTATTCACACTTAATCATAAAATGGAACAAACATTGGAAATAATATATTTTCACAAACATTACATGTTGTCTTAATTGTTGTTTGAGAGATTGCATATGCAGTACCTCCTCCAGACTCAATCTTCCTATATTCAGCAATATAATTATCTAAATATTCATTCACATCTTGCTCATGTTGCAAAGCAATGCTACCCCCTTCAATCGTTTTAATACAATAATGTAATGGTTTTGCTACTCTTCTAACTACAGGAATCTCTTTTGCAACATCAGTTACTTTACCAATAGTATGAGTAACTGTTCTAACATATGGAGTTGCCCCTGTATCATTGATTTGTTTAGAGACATCAGTATAAATTTTTAATCCTTTACGGATAGTGTCTTCACTAAAAACATTCACAATTTTATCGAAAGTAGTAGTATTTTTTTTCATAATTTCTTTTTGTAATGGTGTCAATTCTCTTTCTTGATTAGACCTTTCTGATTTAGGTGGAAGAGGAGGACAATTAGATTTATTTGTTTGTTTTAGTTGAATATGAAGAGAAGCATTATTTGATGGTGAATGAGAAACTTCAAATTTTTTCTTTTGAAATGAAGGTTGAGATACTTGATGAGTTACTTCCACCTTTTTTGAAGGACTAATTTTATTTGATGATTTACAAGTTTCAAATGATCTTTTCTCAAAACAAAGTTTATGAGGTTCATCAGGCATTTCATTTTCAGTACTTGATTGTTCCATATAAATTTTATCATAAAAAATTTCTATAGACTCAGTATATAATGATCTTTTACAATTAATAAAAGAAGTTAGACTAAGTTCCCTCATAATCCAAAAGTGTTTTATCAATCGTTGATTAAATCTGAATATTTCATACTGACATTTTTGATATTCCTTATTTAAGTCTTTCTCTTTTATTTCAAGTTTTGTTTTAATGAGTTTCTTTTGATTAATTTCATAACTTACAGCGTCTCCTAGTTTGGTCTTAAGCTCTAAATTTTCATTAGATTTTCTTTGCCATTCTAAACTTTTTCTAATTGAATTAGTCATTTCTTGTTGTTTTAACTTATTTTCTGCTAACTGTTTTTCGATGTATTGGAGTTGGTGTTTTTTTGAGTTAATACAATCTTGCTGTAAATACAATATTTCTTCTGCCTTCTTATATATTATATTTAACATTTCATTTTCTTTTTGTTCTGGAATTAGTTCTTTTCTATTATTGAATAATGTTGGACATATTAAACCAGACATATTTTAATTACAACTTCTAATCAAATAAAGATAAAAACATAGTTCCTCAAAAAATGGAAGAAAATTGAGATAATAAATCAAAACAAAATATTTATTACAAATGCATAAAAAATAAACAGAAAATATCTAATTATTATGTGAAACCATAAAATAATTAATTTGTTATTTAGTTAATGACTTTTATTTTAAATCATCAAACAGAAGATTAAGGAAATTAATAAAATCCAAGAATTAATACCATTACCAATGGTACCACTGTTATCAGTATTATCTAAGATTTTTTTGTCAAGAAACTTGAGTGTATCAGGAATTTGACTCTTCCAAAATTCAACATTATGCTCTCCATCTCCTATATACCAATAATTATTCATTTCAGCGTTTTCCATAATAGTTTTTGAAGGAATAACATATTGATATAAATAATCTTGTTTACCAATACAAACACGATATGGCATAGTAAACGTACCTTTAGATGATGACTTTACAATAGTATTAAAATTATTTTGTTTAAAATATTCTTCATTTCCAAAAATTGATAAAAGGAGTTTTTTAATGTCATTATTATCATCTAATAATTTTAAAGTATTTTCTGGTAATAAAGCTGGACTCATTGGAGAACAAGCAGAAAATAGTTCTTTGTGCTTTAAAGAATAAAGAGCAGCGCCATAACCACCCATTGATATACCTGCGATACTTCTATTTGATTGATTAGTATCAACTGAAACTAATGCTTCAATGTATGGAATAAATTCTTCAAAGAAGAATTGCTCATAATTAAAAGTACCATCATACTTATCAACATAGAAAGAATTAAATGCATTTGGTGTAACAAATAATGTTGGTTTAATTATTTTATTTGTAATATAGTCATCAAGAATTTCTTTCAAACCATATTGATAAAAGCTTTGACAATCACTATCCATTCCATGGAGTAAATATACTATTGGATATTTAATACTATCTGAATATCCATCAGGCTTATATAAAGTATACTCTATATCCTGACTAAGAATATTACTATGAATAATGTATTTTTGTACATCGCTGTCAGCATGACAAAGTAGCACAACTGATAACAGGAAAATAAACATAACAATAATATTTTGATTCTTTTTGAGTTTATCTTTAAAAGATATTACTTTATTATTTCTAAAATTAAAATAACAATAACAACAAAAAGAGAAAATAATTACTTGATTTATTCAAAAAAAAAAGTTATTCGAATTATTTTAATAATGTATATTTGGAAATAAAGCAATTATAAAGGGGAAAATAATCTGAAAAAAAAATAAAAAATAAAATAAAAAGAATATTCTAAATTATGAAAAAATCAATTAAAATCAAATTTTCCAAAGTTTGAGAAACAATTTTAAACACAAATAAAAATAATAAAAATGAAACGAAATGTAAAGTGAATATGAATTAACAACTATTAAATAGTAATTGAAATATTGTTAGTATTAAAGATTGGGGAGGGTTTAAATACAGGACGGCTATAAAAGAAAGATTTAATATTTTCATCACCTTTTTGTATAGTACATTCTTTTTCAGAAGCAGTAGTAAGTGAGAACAAATGAGTAGATATTAATGAACCAGCTTTTTTTACTAATTCATCATCAATAATTAATTTACCTTTATAATAAACGGCCTCAACAAAATCAACTTTAGTACGAGACAATGAATTTCTCATTCGAGTTGTTTCAAAGAAATAACCAAGATCAAGACAAATATCTACAAGAAAATCAAGAAGAGTTACAGTCTTTTCATTTTCAACTCTCCTTATTACATTTTTTTTACTTAATCCAGACTCTATGGCATTTTCATAAACACCTTTTGTTTGTCTTTCAAGAAATGCCTCTACATCAAAAACTTCATTATCAAAAATCAATGTTTTGATTTTAAACAACTGATGAGTTAAACTAGATCTTTTCTTAGGACGTTCATAAACAATAGAACAATGTTTACTAAGAATACCTATTAACACAGCTTCTTGAATACATTTTCTATTCCTAATATACCTCGTGCCAAGAGTATGTTTCTCTCTCTTTGTAGGGGGTGTAGTAATAAATGGATTTTTGATTAATGTATCTTCATGGACAGAATTTTCACTATGAGACAATGAAGTAGAAACTTCAATAGAATCAGAACACATCCAAAGGATGACTGTGGAATAATATTAACAGATTTAATGGTTTATATAAAGTCATGCTTTTAAAATTGTCATTTTCCCAAGTCATAGAAGAAGCTTTTAGATTCCAACATCTTTTCTATAATAATTTGTTCTGTATGGAACAAATAAAATCAGGTCAGGTTAGGAACATTCTAAATTATGAATAAGTTTCTATTTTTACAACTAGTTTAGTTCACTGATAAAATAATTATTTTGAATAGATATTCATTCAATGTTATTTTTTAGAGAAACATCTTTTTCCTTCGGATTTATGGTTCTTTAATCTTCGACAAAATGAAAAAATTGATTAAAGGTTCACACTTAAAACTTAATTTACTCAAAAAGTATCAATTTAATTTCTAGTTTATTGTTATCATTTATCTTATTGTACATTAAAATCATTTCACGACTCTAATTAGAGTCAATTTTCTCAAAGTCATAATTTGTTTTTTCTTATGAACAAAGTCAAATGAGATAATTTCAAATTTATATACACAATGTTTCTGTTATACTATTCCAAAAAAAATAAATGCAATAAATTCATAACTATTAATTACAAAGAGCAGCCAAAGTATTAATTCTATTTTTTAATATTTTATTGTACCTTTTAAGTTTTTCAATCTGTTGTTTCAATTCATTATTCAATTGAGATGCTAAGGTTAGTTTTTCTTCTTCCCAAGTATTTAGTCTAGAAACTGCCATTTCTGGATTAATAGAATGAATCCCATCATATTTTCCTTTAACAATATTAAATATTTCATTAAAGTCCCCATCATAAAATTTACTTATAGTACCCATTTCAGTTTTAAAAATATTAACCATTTGTTCCAATGAAATCTCTTGCATGGCTCTATTAATTAATCCATAACTTGATTCATCTGGAGTGTTAGTTATATAACTTAGTAATGAATTAATTGCAGTTCGAAGTTCAATATTATTAGAATCAGTAGAATATTTTGATTCTTGTGAACAACGGTGAACAGCCTCATGAAGAATTTTAAGTACAGAAGGGACTTTTGAGAATGGTCTAAAACAATATCTTAAAAAAAATAATGTTAAAAATGTATTTCTAGCTTCAGTTTTTGAACGACTTTGAGCCACTCTATGATATATTTTTCTTAATATTGTTTTAAAATGAGGAGGTATATAAGAAGGACATTTATTAACAAATTTTGTTAATAAATGAATAATATTTTTAGATGTTGACATTTTATCTACCCAAATTCCTTCTTTTAAAATTCGTTCTGTTTGATTTATGTGAATGTCCCCATAAATTTTAAACTCTTCTTTTAAAAGTTCATCACAAAATTTAAATGTATAACTATTAAAAATTCTTGTAAATGGAGTATTTCCTCTAAATAACTCATTACAATAAGAAGTCTCATCAATCTCTTTGAAAGCTATAGCTTCTAATAATTCAATCACCTTTCCACGAGATGCATAATAATTAATTAGACATCCAATATAACTAACATTAACATCATGTTTTAATAACTACATATTAATTTTAAATTTTTTATTAATTAATGAATCAAAATATTTTTATTTTTAAATCTTTTCAAAATATTTTAAAAAATTAACAAACTGAATCACAGAAACAATATAAAAGAGTATTTTTTGGTGAAAAAAACATTTCTCTTAATGAATCTTCTTGTGACTTCTTCTTTTTCAATGGAGAAATAGCTTTAAATAATGATGGTTGGGTATAGCTATTATTAAAAGAGTGATGAAATTTATGATTTGAATGTGAAAAAGAAATTGGTAATGGAAGAGTTTGACAACTACTAAAACGAGGAGATTGTTCTTCTTCTGAAGAAATACTTAAAGAACAAGTACTTTTATCAGATAACTGGAATGAATAACATTTGTTTAATCGACTTGAAATAACTGACATATATTATCCCCGATGAAAACGAAGAATAATTATTAATGAGTTACTTTAAATAATACTTAATTATAGCTAGGTCATACTTATATTTAAAAAATAAAAACGAACCGTAACATTTTAAGTGAAAATGAATGGTCTTTTTAGGCTTTGGAATTTCAAAAAGTCAATCAGTTAATGCAATTTGATTAACTTTTTAACATATTTACTATATTTAGATTAAAATTTCGTTGGTTTTTTAAGAAGAATAAATTCCAACAACTAAAATTCTTTGTTAAGAGAAGGAGTTAATACAACTTCAAAAAAAAAATAAAATCTTCTTTTTTGTTTCAAAGAAATAATAGATACTAAAAATAAATATAAATGATTTGAGTTTGTAAATTCTTGAGGATATTCAGAAAATTTATAGAATAGTTTATTTAATAAAACTCATTTAAATAAATCTCCATTCAAGATGATAATAGAATTATAAAAAACTATTATTAGTTTTTTATTTAATTCTAAATATTTTCTTATTGTTTTTCTCTATTTAACTATGGTAATTTGCGAGTTTGTACCCTACAAAACTCTCATTTTTCTTAAATACAGAACAATTTTTTGAAAATATTAAGAATATCAAGAAAAAATATCAGTATTTTTAACAACTTCGTTAATTATTAAATAACTCATAACATTTGTTTTTGATACAAATATTAAGACTAGATTGTTATTGTCATTAGTGTATTGTTCATAGACTGTAACTCATTTTAGAAATATGGCAATTTTAGTTTTTGGGTTCTTAAAAGAATTGGATTATAATTGGTGGTTTTATATCCACCATTTAATTAGTCATTTAGTTAGTATGATTAGTACTATAATCTTCTGTCTGACTTACTAATTCAAAAATTTACAATCACTCACTACCAATAACCACCTCACTAAAAGTTCATATTCTAAAGAACTTAAAGAAACAATAGATATTTTTTATACAAAGGAAAGGCTTCTTATAAAGAATGAAGGTTCAAGTAGTAATAATATTAACGCATAAGAATTACTGTGAAAATCAATAAATTTATTCTAAATTATTTCTGTCTTTAAAAAAAAGAAAAAATAAAAACTGAAAAAGTAAAAATGATTAACCCTCTTATATTCATTGCAATTGTAATTTGTACTAATTCTATTCGTGTTGAAAATCAGTACTATAAAAAAGGACTAGGAACTGTTGACAATGTTGCAATAAATAAAGATATTTTCTTTTATTCATCAGAAGAAGGAATTCTCTCTAAAAGTGATATTAAAGGACATATTGGTTTGTTTATTAACTTTTTTCAATAGGTTTTTTTATTGGTGATGAATTTTTTTATTTAACGTTTTAAATGATGGTTTTTAATTATTAAATAGCTTGGAGAAGAACTATTGGTAAAAATGGTAAAAAAGTTACTGCCTCAACACTCGGTGTTTTTGTTTTATATAATGACTCTGTCTCATATTTTGATTCAAGAGGTGAATTAGAATATACCATCGATATTATTGCACAAGATATTGAGGCGAGTGACTTCCTTTATTTATTAAAAGACAACATAATGGAAAAAAGAGCTCTTAGAGATGGTTCATTAATAACTTCAATAAACCAAAAAGGTATTATAAGATTAATGAAAGATGGAATTATGACTTCGGATGGTATTTTGTCAATAAAAGAACAAACTCCTATTAAAGTTGAAGATTATTCATATGCAAAGAAGTATTTAATTAAAGAAGATTATGCTTCAGAAACTGATTGTGATGCACAAAATGAACGTGTTTGTGTTCAAGTTAATAAAGGTAAAATTCGTGTTTTAAATAGAGTAAAAGAGGTTGTTTTCGAACGAGATGATACAATTATTGTTAATTCTCTAATAACAAGAGGAGTTTTTTGTTTTATAAGAAAATCAGGCAATATCTACGCTCTTTTAAATAATGAGGAAGTTTTTATAAAATCAGTTATAGGAACAGGTGAATATATTTTATTTAGTAATTATGATGAACGAATTTATTCTGAAGATAAAATTACAAAAGAGTTGTTACAAGAAGAAATTGGTGTTGTTGATATGTCAGGAAATATTATTACTAATAACGTCATTAAAACTCCAAAAATTAAAATTGCAAAGAAGATTGAAGGTGGAGTTATTGTTATTGATATTAATAACAACGTTTATTCAATTGGTAGTAATGTAGATGGTAAATTTATTGCATCTAATACAGAACTTTATCAAATTAATAATAAAACTGCTATTCCAAGAAGAAATTATAAGTCTAAACAAATTTTCACTATAAATCCAGAAGAAGTTAATGGTGTTGTTGGTAAAGCCCAAATTGATAGAAGTGTTAAAGTTCCATTTGCATTAAAGTCATTAGCAATTATTGTTGATGAAAGTACAATTCAAATAACTGAAATAATTACAGGTAAAGTTATTTCAAGTGTTAAATTACCTCAAGGAGCATTGAAAACTGAATGTGTATTAAGTCAAGGACTTGCAGCATGTTTTATTAATACTCCTAAAAATACTGTTATTTTAACAATTGAAATGTGGGAAAAAGAAACTGATTGGAAAGCAACTTCTTATGATGTTTATCATCTTCCAGAAATTGCAACTAACATAAAATCAACAACAATTCCTTATTTCATTGATATTGCTACAATCTCTATTTCTTCTTTAGGAGTATCACAAAAAGCATTTGTTATTTATTCACAAAAACATATTTACATCCTTAACCCACGCAGACTACTTGGAACAAAAGCACCATTTGAAATGACACGTGAAGATGCTGAAATGGGAGAACTTCCTTATTCAGCAAATCTCAATATAACTAAAGAAAACTTAGTGACAAAAGAAATTGATCTTGATATTGATACCCTTCAAACTCATCCAGGTACAATGGAATCAACAACTATTGTTGTAGGAACTGGAATTGATCTTTATATTTCACAAGTAACACCTATTCTTTCATTTGATTCAACTTACAACTTTAATAAACCACAATTATTTATTACAACAATTATTGTGTTAGTTGTGACGGTAGTTCTTTCGTTCATTACTAAAAAGAAGAAATAAATGAATTTGAAATCTTTTATTTTTTTTTTATTAAACAAAAACAAAAAATGAAATTATTTCTTACAATTAAATTAAAAAATAAACTTCATTCTCAGGAAAAATACTCAGGATGGGTATAACTCAAATAAGCTAAGAAGAAAGAATAATATTCATTATCATTCATTTGATCTTGGACGTATTTAGAAGCTGAAACTATCATTAAAGCAGAAACATTACAACCTAACATTTTTGATATATTTGGTGCTTTCTCTTTTGCATGTATAAATGAAAGACCTTTTTCATGTATTGGTTTTAAATGTGTAAGACTTTCTTCAAAATTTTTTTTTGAAATTTCAATTCTTTTTTGGGGAGGTTGAGGAAGGTTAACGTCTTCTCCAATTTCTTCATAAAGTTCAATATCATTATTGTTGTACTCTAACAAATCTTCATCAGTTGGAATAAGATTATTTTCCAACTCTTCTTGTTGAATACTTTGAAATTGTTCAATAATACTTTTCTTTGTATCGTTATCTGCAGAATTAAACATTTCAAGGTATTCAGCTGGAAATCCTGGAGGTGCAACAATAACTTCTGGAGCTCTTTTATTCTTTGGGACAAAGGCATGTGCTTCAATATTATATTTCCTTTGAGGATTATCAGACATCTAATGGTAAGAAATTTTAAGTTCTTTTTAACCTTTTTTCTTTTTTCTATTTTTAATTTGCATCATTGGCACTTTTCTTTAACATTCAACATCTTTGTATATATAACAAAAAAATCAATCAATTCATTGCTCTTTTCACTCGTTTTAATGCTCTTGTTGTTTCTGATTCTTTAAATTTATCTAATTGTGCAAAATATTTTGGAGATGCTTCAAATAACCATTCAGGTTGAATTGAAGATGCAGTACGAACATATTCTCTCTTTGTCATAACATATTCATTATAAAGAATCCACTCTCTCTTTCCAACACAACTAGATGGATGTAACAAAACAATTCTATTATCACAAACTATTTGATATCCTCCTTTAACTTGATGAGCACTTTGCATAAAGAATCCTTTGCATAAAGCTTTTCGAATCAATTCTTTTCTTTTTCTAACATCTTCAATAGGTTTTTGTTGTTGTTTAACTCCCATTCTGTATAAAATTCCTAATAGTTGGTTTTTAATTGACTCAGCTTGTTTTAATGCCCTTTGATTAACATAATTATTCCATGACCATTTTGAATCTTTTCCATTTTCTATCCATGCATTGTATGTATTTAATAATGTAACATGATCACTTTCATGATCATTAAAATATGCTTTTGCAGCATCAGCCTTTGACTTTTCTTCCTGTTCCTTAGGTCTATAAAATATACTAGGAACATTAAGTAAAGATACTATTGTTGATATTTCATCAACTACATTATAGTCAATTGATGCAATTAATGTTACTGCTAATTGAGGGTCAACAGGTATTTCAGAAATTTTTGAACCAATTTCAGTTAGATTTGTTTTATCATCTAAAGCGTTAAGATAATATAATTGTTCTAATGCTCTAACCATTACTTGTGGAGATGGTGCATCAAGATAATCAAAATGAAGGATATCTTTAATTCCTATTTTTTTCATATGTAAAATAACACTTGCAAGACTTGTTCTTAACATTTCAGGAACAGTTTGTTTAGGTAATGATTCATTAAACCCTTTTTCAGTATATAATCGATAACATTGACCTGGTCTAGTTCTTCCCGCTCTTCCAGCTCGTTGTTGAGCAGCAGCCTGACTGATTGCAGTTACTTGTAATGTTTCAACACGAGTAGATGGAAGATATACTTTTTGTTTAACATAACCAGTATCAATAACATAAACAATTCCATCAATAGTAACTGATGTCTCTGCAATATTTGTTGAAACAATTACTTTTCTTCCATTAACTTTCTCAAAAACACGTTGTTGTTCTTGTTGTGGTAAAGCAGAATAGAGAGGTAAAGCAATCATATGACTTTTTGTTTTCATTGAATTGATTCTTGCAACCATTTCTTCAATTTCTTCTTCACCAGTCATAAAAATTAAAACATCACCTTCTGGTTCATTATCAATTTTAGAAACAACTTTAACTGCAGCTTCAAAATAGTCATTTTCTGGATATCTACTATAATTAATTGTTACAGGATATGTTCTTCCTTCAACAGACATATTAGGTGCATTATCAAAATATTCTTTAAATTTTGTAGCTTCTAAAGTAGCACTCATAACAACAATTTTTAAATCTTCTCGTTCTTCTAATAATGATTTTAATACACCAAATAATATATCTGTTGATACTGTACGTTCATGTGCTTCATCAAGTAAAATAACTCCATACTTTTGAATTTTAGGATCTCCCATTAATTCTCTCAACAACATACCATCAGTCATATACGTTAATTTCGTTTTATCACTTCTACAATCATCAAAACGTACACAATAACCTACTTCTTCTCCTAATTGAACATCCATTTCTTCTGCAACTCTTTGAGCAACAGAAATAGCTGCAACTCTTCTTGGTTGTGTACAACAAACACCTTTCCCACCACAAATTTCTGGATTTAAACAAAATTTAGGAATTTGAGTTGTTTTTCCTGATCCAGTTGCTCCTTCAAGAATAAGTACTCTATTTTTTTTTAATTCATCAATAACTTCTTTTTCATATTGTTTTACTGGTAATGCATTTATTTTTTCTTGTAATTTAAAATAATTTTCACTATAAGGTTTCCCATTTAATGGGTTAATAATTTCCTCAAGGTCAATTCTCTTCTTACTGTGTTTAATATCTCTCTTCATAACTGATTGTTTTTGATTGTTTTTAAAAAATAGGGTTTTTTAATATTTTCCTTTTTTAAAAAAATTAAAAGCAGAAAAAATAAAAGATTTTTTATTTTGAAAAATTGTTCAATTGATAAAAATATTTAAAATAATATTTTCAAAATTCTTTTAATTGAAATGTCATAATAGTATAATATATGAATTTTTAATAAACTATTTCTTATTTTTAATTAACAGCAGTTTGATTCTTTTTTATCACCTATAGTTAGTCCATCGACGTATTGACTTTCTTTTGGTAAATACGAATTATTATCTATTTTTTCTAAAATAATATCAACAAGACTCCCAAAGAGTTCTTTAATTCCAATATTATCTTTAGCACTACATTCCATTACTTTAATATTACCTAATTTAGATGCAATATTTTTTGCTTCTTCAATATCAATTAATGAATTTGAATTTTCATCTTTTTTATTACCAACTAAAAATATTACTGGATTTGGTTGTGTTGTTTTTTCATTTACTTCTCCGTACCATGAATATACTTTATTTAGTGAATCTCGATTATTAACATCATAAACAATTATTACAGCAGTAGTATTTCTAAAATATGCAGCAGTTATATTCATAAATCTTTCTTGACCAGCAGTATCCCAAATTTGTAATTTAATTGTTCTTTCACCAACATTTAATATCATCGGTTTAAAATCAACTCCAATTGTTGAAATATATCGTTCATCAAATGTATTATTACAATATCGTTGTAAAATAGCTGTCTTTCCAACTCCAGAGTCTCCAACAATTAGAATTTTGAAAAGAAAATCATAATGATGAGATGACATATAATCTTCTTTTATAGATCTTTATGGTTCTGTTGTAAACCCTTAAGAATATAATGGACTTCATTATAAAGTTCCTTTCTCTTCTATGTAAACAAAAGAGTCTTCTTAAAAATGATTCTATTCTAATATTTTTAACAAAAAAATTCATTTTTTTTTAATTTATGATATATATAACAATTTATTAAAGAGAGTAAAATATTATTGAATTGAACTAATAGAATAACAAGATGATATAAGGAAATTAAATTAAATGGTTCTTTTTACTTCAAAGTATTTCTTAATGAAGTATGTTTGAACAAGAGACATTCCCAAAATTAAAATAGCTTGAAGAACAAAAAGATATGAACTCCATGAATAGGCTTGTTGAAGCACTAATTATATAAGTATTATCAATAGTAAATAAGTTAAGTTAAAATAAAAACAAACTCTCTTGATGAATTTGTGACTTTAATTGTAACATAACAACTTCAATTCTAGCATGTGTAAGAAGATGATTTAATTCATTAGCTAAATTTTCAACTTTATCAGCTTGTTCTTGATTTGCAATAGTATCTTGTGAAGAAAAATCCATAAATAAAGCAACTGTTTTAGTTGTACTAAATGATGCATAACTATTATCTAAACAGATTTTATGTTCACCAGAATACAACGCATCTTTATCAACCATTCCACTTGATTGTCTTTTTTCTTCAACAAATATTTGTCCATTTGGATTATACATAACAAAATTAATATCGTTATTTCCTCCTTCAATAACTTGATAATAAATTGCAATATGTGCTCCTTTTTCTATTTTCTCCATAAAACATTCCATTTTTCCTCCAGCAATTTCAGTGGTAAAAGCACGGGTTAATGTGACTAATAATATAAGACTAATGATACTCATTACCTATTTTGTTTCTTTTTTTTAGTTCACAGAACTATTTTTTTTATTCTTTTTATTTTTTCTTTTTATCTCATAACAAATTTCTTTTATAGTAATTAATAAAAATGTTATTAGCTTCAGTTATTGGAAGTAATTGTTAATATTTTTAGTCTACTAATTGTACTAACATTAAAGACAAACTAAAACCTTTTTTTTGAAAAGAAGGATAGAAGATTTGATTGATTGGCTTTAATTTTTAAAGATGGAAAAACTAGATTATTTTTTCTTTATTCTTCAGTTTTGACTCTTTATTTTCAAATTGAAGTTTATTTTAGAAAAAAAATATTATAATAACACAAGTTTAATAAAAAAAATGTTATTATTAGAGATGGGAAAATTCATATTTTAAATGAGATGGATTAGCTCCAGTAAATTCTTTTACCATCCCTCCTTGTCTATAAAATCTAAATGTTGGCATTGAACGAATATTACATTGTCTTGCTATTTCAGGAGCAGCATCTACATTTACTTTGATGCATTTAATAAGGGGATAATCTTGTGCTAGTTCAATAAAGATTGGGCTAATCATTTTACAAGGGCCACACCAAGTTGCATAGAAGTCAACAACTACACGAGAATTTGTTTTAATAATTGAATTAAACTCCGATAAAGAAGATATTTCGGTGTAAGGTTTCATCCTTAAAAAGTAATGAACTGAGTTTGACATAAGAAGAAGAATCAAATAAATTAAAAAGATATTAGACCCAAAAGAAAAAAATAATATAAATTAAAATTTAACCAATTTGTTCAATTACTTGTATTGTTATATAATCATTTGAATATCCTGGTCTTATAAAATATATTAAATATGAAGATTCATCTTTATAAGGAATTGGAAACATATAAGGAATACCTTCTGAAGTATATGTTAGTGTTGAGTCAATATAAAAATATTCTCCTTCTTTTATTTTTGGTTTAAAAACAGTTTGCATTGAATAAGCTTCCATTGATTTTGTTGGAGTTTCTATTGATTCAACAGTTAATACAATTAATGGTTTAGAAATAGAATTAATACTAATAACTTCAAGTAATTCTTTTCCTGGTTGAATAACATTATTTCCAATCATTAATGGTTCAACAGATTTCTTTTTATCAAAAACTGTAACAAAACATTCATGTTGAAAAATAATATTTTTTGAATCAATAATACCATTAAATATATGTATTCTACAAAATGGAGAATAGTCTATAAAGGTTAAGCTACATTCTTTACCAATATTTATAATTTCTTCATTAAACCCAATAATAACTTCATTACCTCCTTTTAATTTTAATGGTTTGTCATTATCTTCAAAAGGAATAATGATTTGTTCTTTATTTTCACATAAATGAATTTTAACAGGGAGTCCTTCATTAATAATACAAATATGCTCATCCTTTTGAATTGATTTAAATTTAAAGATATGATAATTATCAAAAATAATACCACCATTTAAATAACCAACTTTACAATTAATTTTTTTTTCAATTCTTGTTAAATTAATGTTAAAATTCATTTCATCATATTTATTTATTTGTTCTTTTTCTTCTTTAGGTTCATTTTCATATTTTATACATATGTTTTCTTTTTTAAGACTTTCAATTTGTTTTTGTTGTTCTTTCATTTGGTTTATTTGTTCTTTAATAATACCATTTAATTCTTCATGTTCTACTTTTAAATGATTATTTTCTTCAATACATTCTTTTTTATATTTTTTTAATTCTTCAAGTTTAGTATTTTTTTGTTCTATTAAATTCTTTAATTGTTTATTTTCTTGTTGAAATAGAATAGTTTTAGACTCTGACACTTTTAGTTCATTAACTTGTTTTTGAACCATATGAAAAGTTTGTAATATTAATCCTTTTAATTCATTATCATTTATTAATTGAAAATCATTTTGATTATTTTCAAATAACTCTTTACCGTTTATAATTTCATTTATATACTTAAAACTGTTTTTTATATATGTAATTTGATTCATTAATTCATTAATTTGTTTTTCAAATTTAACACTTTTACTTATTTGACTTTTCAATGTTTCATTTAAAGAGATACTTTGAATTTTATTAAAGTTGATTTTATTTTGTAAGTCATTAACAGTTTTATGAATGGCTTTCTTTTTCTCTTTGATTTTCTTTACTTTTTCATTAAGTACTTCAACCTCTTTTTCAAATTGTTTTTGAATTTCTATTTTTTCTGATTCATTTACATGAAGCGAATATTCTAACTCAAACCTTTTTTGATTGAGAACTAATATTTGTGTTCTTAGTTGTTCATTTTCTGCATTTAATTCTTCTAGTGCTGATTGCATTTCTATTTTAGTTTTCAAATTTTCATTATCAGAATCATTTAACTGAAAGAGTAGTTGTTGGCACAATTGCTGAAGGTCATGAATATTTTGTTGATTTAGTTCTATTTCAGTCATTACACTAATATAAAAAAAGAAAAGATATTTTAATGATTCCAAGTTCTCTTTTCAAAAAAAAAAAGATTTTTTTTTTTGATAATAACCAAAAAGAAAATAAAGAAAACAAAAAAAGACATAATAAGAACCTAAAAATTCATAAACATCCATTACATTAAAATCATTACAATCATAATAGAACACAACACCCAGACTTTTTCTCTGGAAATGGTGTTTGTTCAGTTTTTTGTTCTATTGGTACATGTTTTTCTATCATTGCTTTTAAAAATTGAATTGCATTATCTTTATCATTTAAATTAACTAAATAATGGTCAAATCGATTTTCATCTGCAAAAGATTTACCTGAATTGAAAATTTCTTTGTTCTCTTCACTTTCAATACCAAATCCTAAAATTCCTACATCTACATCAGGATCACAATATCTTTGAATTTCTTTTAACCAACTTTGTAATGTTCTAACAGAATCACCATTTGTTAAGCTATATGTTAAAAACACTTTACTTGCGTTTTTAAAATATGTTGTTGTCAATGAACGATATTTGTCTTTTCCGTCTATCAGTTTGTTATTACACACATTCAATATAGATGTAAATTAAAACACTTTACATTTAAAAACAAAAAATATACAAACCAGAACATGTAAGTGTTAATTTGGTTTGAACACCTTTAACATCAGTAATACAAGGTTTAATATCATCACCATCAGCAGCTGATGTAGTAGGAGCGCTTACAATTGATTGAATATATAAATCAACTAATTTTTGTGATGGGTTTTTATCAATTCCAATAAAGATTATTTTAATTTCTACTAATGATTCATCATAATCGTCAAACTCACTGTCCATGGGGTAGTATTCATTTCCAGTTGTTCGTTCTTTTTTCAATCTTTTCTTTTTTTTTGTTTTAAGTCATTTTCTAGAACTTTTATAATATTTAAATTATTCCTGATTCTTTTTTTTCTTAGTTCTGGATACTTTATTTTAAGTTGCCCTTGCTGATAAATCTATTTTTATTACGTCTTCTTTATAAATTTAATTAGTTATGGAAATCCATACCGTATTTTAATTCATCCACATAAATTTTCCTATTCACTTTTTGAAGTTCTTGACTAAAAATAGTTTTTTTTTCTTTTGCCTCATCATATCATCAGTATTGTTCAAAATAATTATAAATTTAAGATTTTTACAACAACAGAATCTCTATAACTTTTTTCTAAATGGTATTTCATTTTACTTTTTATTCTAAAATATAATTATTTTATTTCTTGTTAGACCAATAATAGTCATACCATCTTTAACAACCCAAAGAATGAATGAAACAATTACAGAAATGGTATGACATTAAATAAAAAAAAATTATGGATTGAATATAAGGTAGTTTTTATTCTTCGATAAAATTTCTACAACAAAAATATCATGACGTTATTTTCATAAATACAATAATTACAAATGATATTATAAATAGTCTTGTTTCAAAAATAGAAAGAAACCAAGTTGGAATAATTAAACAAATAATTGATTTGAATATTCCCTATTAAATTACTTTTTTTCAATTTAATACTTACTAATGCTTATAATTCTAATGATAAAAATATATCTGTCATATACTTCTTTTTTTTATATTTCAAACCTTCAATTATTATAATTTTTTATTAATTCAATTTGTTTATTTGATTAATTAGTTGGTTGTGTTAATAGCATAATTAGCTCTATTTTTTTTCAACTCAATATAAATTCACATTTTTTTAAATAATAAGAGAATTATTCTTTTTCTCATGTGTATAACATTTAATTTGACTTATTTTCTGATCAATAATTAATAAATATATTTGAATAATTTCTTTTAATTAGAGTTTACATTTGTTATATTTGCTCTCTTATTAACCTTTGTTTATAGAGTTATTAGATATAGTCAAAATTATATTATCATTCCCTGATTGTGAAATGTCATTAAAGTATATTTTATACAGGTTTTATATAATTCACAACTAAACAAAAACGATATTACTCTTATTATTTCCTATTTTCGAACAAAAAGTACATGTCTTTATTTTAATTAAAAACTTTAATACTAAGTATCATTTCTTATTCTTTATATTTTGGTTTTTCTTATTCAATAATAGAAGCCAACTTAATTAGGTAATATCAATTATCAAATCATATATTTTTACATTTTCATTGTATTACATTTTCATTGCATTATTTTTATTATTTTTATTAATTATTGATATACTTTAAAAGATTCGTTAGAACTATCATAGTTCTTAGTATATTATAAATTATTAATGAAGTGTATATTCAATTTAACAAACAATATGATAAATTGGTAAAGTATAATATTCACCTCTATTATAAGGAGAGGATTGTTTGTTTTTTTCATCCAAGAAAAAGAAGGATTGAAAATCAGTGAAACAAAAATAATTCTTTTTATTCAAGAAAAATAACACTTGTTTAATACAACTAAAGGATGGTATTTGGTAATAAACACAAAGCCATTTGTTTAATTATTTACCTTTCATATTTTCTTTTGTAAAATTATTGTAAATCACAGAATATCTAAGTAAATATTCTTCCCAATCAATTCTCTTATCTAATCTACTGACAACCATCATAGAAATAAGTTCATACAAAGCATCATATAAATAGGGATTAATTCTACGTGTTACTTCACAAAATGAAACATCATAAATAGTTTCAGAACCTAGTTTCAATTTTGGTTTAGGATGAGAAACACCAGATAGGAGAAAATGAAGAAATAACCCAATAGGAACTATTTCTGCTTTAGAAGTATAAAAAGATCCATTTTTAATTTCTGGAGCCATCATACCTTCTGTTCCCCATTTAGTTTTCATTACATCACTAATTTCTCGTGAGGTATTAAAATCAGCAATTTTGAGTAAAAGGTTCATTGGCTCTGGTTCACTTGAGTTTGGGTCAACAGTAATGAGGATGTTTTGGTATTTGATATCTCTATGAACTATTTGAACGTCTTTCAATAAATAATTCATTCCATCGTTAAATTGAGAAACTAAATGAAAGAAATATGATAGTGGCAAAAGATGATGACTAAAATTTTTTTGTTTAATAAAATTATCCAATGTACCATAATAACACCATTCAGTAACTATAGTATTTGGTGAATATGCTATAAACTTAAGTACATTTAGATGGTCTATCATTCTTAATACTCTAACCTCTCTCAACGTGGATGCAAGTCTTTGTGAGTCACATCTTTTTATTGCATATTTACCACATTTAGAACGATATACTATTCCTACTGACCCACTCCCTTTTATTTCCATTTCAGGATATATCCCAAGTTTTGAAAGATCAATTGGAATAATATCTTTATAATTATAACACTCCATAAAGAATTTATTATGCAAATAACATACGATAGGTTTTTTAATGTTTTTAAGTTGTTGAGCCAATTTATCAAGTAAAGTATTAAGTGTTTGATTTGTCCTTCTTGGATGATTTGATTTTAACTTTACTAGAAGTTCACCGAATGAATACCCAATAATACTTTCTGTTATTTTTGAATAATTATATTGAAAATTAGAAGGAATATATTGTCTAAAAACAGAAGCATCTTTTAATAATGGTAGAACAAATGAAAGAGGAGAAAAAAGTACTTGTTTGATAGGAGAAGATAAATCTTTTTCTAATACAAATGAATGAGGTTCAAAAAGAATTGGATATTTGAAGAAAAATGGTAAATGAGGTTCTAATTGAAAACTAAAATATTCTTGAGTTAAACGAGCCAAATCGCTTCCAAAGTATTGAGTCAAATCATAATTAATTGGTTTATTAAATAATGTAAAAAATTCTTCACAATCATAACCATCACAGATAAGTAATAGTACTAAATTCTTTGTTGTGAAAGAATCAGTTATTGTATAAGTATTATTATTTTGAATACATACAAACATTTCTTGAAACATTTGTAAAGTTTTTGATAATAATGGGAATTTAGAAAATAGTATTCTATGAAACTCTTTTAATTCTATTAATTCTCTGAATATTTTAATAACTCTTCGTTGTTTATCACCAAAACCATCTAATGGAATTTCTATAAGTAAGCTTTTATGCTCTTTTTTTCAAGAATTACTCTATCCAATAACAAACCATATAAAAAAGAAGTTATACTATTTTTTATTTCACTTTTAATTATAGAAAATGAAGGGAATTGTATTTGTTTTGATTGAAACGCAATCTTTTGGATTTTTGTTGTTTTAGTATGAATGATAATTAATCTATCATTAAATGAAGAATTTTGATGCATGTAAATACAAAAAACTTTTTAAGTTTAAAAAAATTATATTTTTAATAAAAAGTAAATGATAGAAATTCATAGAGAAATTAACTTACAAACAAGTTAAGATATTATCTATTATTATTTATTAATGGTGAACATGAGGAGCACTTTCTTTTGTCTTCTTTATTTCTGTTATTGAATTTTTAAGTAAATCTTTTTGTTTATATTTTAAAGAACTTCTGACACAATGTTTTTCATGTTTTGAGACATCTTCATTAAACGAATTACAATACGAAGACTGAACTTTACATCCCAATTTATCTTCTTTTGACATCTTTCTAGATTCTTTTATTTTTTCTATTTCCATTTCATCTAATAAACGTTTTGGTTGATGTGAAAATTTAACCATTTCCATTAATTCATTAATTTCATCAGCACTAAAAGATTCTTTTAACAGCTCCTTTGTTTTTTTTCTCAATGGAGATGACGGAATAGTCATACTCTCACAATTAGTAATTGGTAGTTGATGAATTTTTGCTAAGAACTTAGCTAATGAGCTTTTATATAGTCTAGACATATGACTTATGATTATTAATTTGATAAAAGAAATAGAAGTTCAATTAAGTATCCCACGTAATCATTATTAATCTCTTTAACTTTTGACTAACTTGGACTAAAATTGGTATAACCCTTTTCTCTTAGCTTGAGTATCATGTCTTCTATGATTGTTATATATTTTATTTGAAACTCATTCTTGGAATTAATAGCTTTCTTCTTTTTATTTCGGTTTTTTGTGATTACTAATAGTTATTAATGGATTTATTATTGTCATCATCTTTTCTTATTATTTTTTTTTTATTTCTTAAAGTAAATTTAAAACTTCTTATTTTCAGTTTCGTTCAAGAAAAGTTTGATGTTTTGGAAACTTAATCTTATAAAAATTTATAAATAAAAAATTATGGAAAAATTAAAAGAAAACTAAAAAAATTAAAAAATAAAAAAAAAGAATGGCTTCAACAATAACAAGATTATTTCAAAAGAACATTTTTTCATTCATATTAGTTTCTTATGCCATTATTATGGCAGGAATATTCTATGATATTATTATTGAACCTCCTGGAACTGGAAGTGTTATGGATAAATATGGAAATATTAAACCTGAAACTATCATGAAAGGAAGACATAATGGGCAATATGTCGTTGAGGGAATCTGTGCATCTATATTTTTCGTTATGATTGCTGGTGGAATGATTATAGTTGATAAGTCAATATCAATGACAGAGGCTGATAGAAAAAAGCCTTTATTTGCAGTAGGTGGTGTAATTGCTACATCCTTTGGATTGTTAATGATTTATTTCTTTGCAAAAACAAAATTTGGATTTTAAATGAATATTTTTTTTAAAAGATTTTTCATGGTATTTTTGTTATTTGCTTTAATAGTGCAAATATAGAAATATCAATTAAAAGATATTCTACAATTGGATTGCATGAGTAATATGAAGTGATTATTTGTATGAATTTAGTATCACTTGTTTCTATTATATAACTCATTTAAAACATACTTACATTAGAAGGTTCTTCTTTTAAGAATTGTCAGAGTTGAATGTTTAAAATAATGTTTCATGCTTTTTAATAATAAATATTCATAATGTCTTATTGAATATATTTTTAATTTTATTAATTTCAGTTTTCTGATTTGTTCATTTTATATTAACTTCTTATGAATATTTTTAATTATTCTTTATTGAATATACACTTTATTTCATTTAATTTTTGTTTAAGTTCATTGGTTATTCATTCAAACACTTTCTTTACATCATGTTTTCATTCATTTAATTGTATCACATTCATTAATTCATTAGAATTAATTTTCTTACCAAAAACTTTTTCCATTCTTTTAAATTATTCAATTTGGACTTTCTTTTATTACTTATTTGTTTTATTCCTTATTTTGTTAGTCTTTATGTATCACTAATATTTTAGTATTACTTGTTGTTGAAGTGTTATGACAAATAAATCGCTTAAATGAATTAACTAAATAATTCATGATATTAATAATGTTATTACTATGATAAATGCATCTATGTAGTTGTTTAAATAATATTATTTATTTTAAAGTTTATGTATTTCTAACCAAAGACTTCCTATCAATTCTTATTCATTCTTCTATCATTTGTACTTCTTTGAACGGTTGTTTTTTCTTTTGTTTTTGATTTTAATTTTCATTTAACATTTTCTTATAATGGATTTTTTTTTGTTTTAAAAGAAATAATAAAAAAAAAGAATAATTTAAACTAATAGTTTTTTTTATTTAAATAATTAACTGATAAACCATTTTTGTTATGAATAAAGTAGGTGAACCACAACTAATTTTGGATGCTGTAAGCCATATGAAACAACTCATGAACGACAAAACCCTTCCTGGAATCGCTCTTTGTGCTGTCGACACATTAAATTTTGTACTTGATAATACAAAAGGTTTGGTTAAACTTATTCTTTCATAAAAAATTATAATTATTTGTAGCTACTGTACATCATGAACTTAGTGATGAATTAAGAGGAACCATAACTCATTTAATCAAAGCATATCCATCATCATTAACTCTAAAATGTAGTTGTGATTTATATATGCATTTTATCAATCAAACAACATTAGCAAATGATTTTTCCGTTGTTCTTTCAAATATTAGACATAGTGGTAGAGTTCTTCAAAATCGACTTCACCAGTGTAGAGATAAAATTGTTGATAATTGTTCATCTTTTATTCGTCCATCTATAACAATTTTAACCCATGGACTTTCTATGGTAGTATGTGGGATTTTATTATCTCATAAAGACACTCAATTTAAATTGATTGTTACTGAAGGAAGACCATATAATTATGGTGAAGAAATCATAAAGTATTTAAAAGAGAATGGTGCTAAATTTGAGGTTGAATTAATTTGTGACACTGCTGTTGCATATAAAATGAAAGAAGTTGATTTTGTATTAATTGGAAGTCAAGTACTAGTAAAAACAGGAGGTTCTGTTAATTCTGTGGGAACATATAATATCGCTATTATTGCTAAGCATTTTAATGTACCTGTTTATGTTGCTGCAGAATGTTTTAAGTTTAGTGATAGTTATCCAATTGAACAAGAAGATGTTAATCTTACATTAATAGATAATCCAACAAAAAAAATTCTTTATGACTACACGCCACCAGAAATGATTTCTCTTATTTTTAGTGATCTTTCTGTATTTACACCTTCTGCAGTTGCTGATGAACTGATTAAATTATTTGGTGGATAATACCTTTTATTCAATTAAATTTTTTAAAACAAAAACATTGTATTGTTGTTATTTTATTAAAAATAAAACAAAAAAGTCAAAACAATCAATGTTTTTAATCTAAAAACCATTCCTCTATTCATTCTGATTAATACCTCATATTGAGAAGTTCAGACGGTACTTCTTGATGTGCTCCTTTTAAGACGGAGATTAAGTCTTTAGCTAACCTTGCATCGGCATAAGTAAATAATGAAATAGCTTCTCCCTCAACACTTCTTCCCATTCTTCCAGTTCTACCAATTCTATGAATATAATTTTCTATATCACTTGGCATTTCATAATTAATAACTATCTCTATATTTCTAATATCTAATCCTCTTGATGCCACATCTGTTGCAATCAAATAATTGACTGCTCCACTCTTAAAATCAGAAAGTGCTCGATCTCTTTCTGCCTGTACTTTATCTCCATGCATACAAGCAACTCTGTATCGTTGATCACGTAATTTATAACATAAATTGTCAGCACTTCGTTTTGTTTTTACAAAAATTAATACTTTCTTTTCTGATCCAATTCGTTTAACAATTTCATTCATTTTAGAATCTCTGTCTCGTTCTTGACACACCTCTATAATTTGTTTAACAGACTCATTAGCATGAAGATCTGGATTTCCAATATTAATTTGTAATGGATGAAACATAAACCCAAGAGCAAATTGTTGAATAGCTTGAGGCCATGTAGCAGTCCACATAACTGTTTGTCTGTCTGGACGAATTTGACCAATAATATCTTGAACTTGAACTTCAAATCCCATCTCTAACATTCTATCAGCTTCATCAAGAATTAAGAATGTACATCTTGATAGACTAGTAACTCCTCGTTTAATAAAATCAATTAATCTCCCTGGTGTAGCAACACAAATATCGCAACCTGATTGGAAATCTTTCATTTGAGAAGATTGAGGTACTCCTCCAAAACACCGTACTGTTTTGATTGAAGTTCCTTTTGTAAATTTAATTGCTTCATCTGCAATTTGACAAACCAATTCACGGGTAGGTGCTAAAATTAATACTCTTGGTCCTTCTCTATATTGTGCTAGTGGTGTATCTAATATATGTATAATAGCTGGAATTAAAAATGAAATTGTTTTACCTGATCCAGTCTCTGCAATACCAACTACATCTTTACCTTGAAGAACAATTGGCCATCCAATAGCTTGTATTGGTGTAGGTTTAATATAGTTTTGTTCTTTAATTACGTTAAGAATAGACTGTGGAAAATTACATTCTTCAAAAGTTAAAAGAGCCTTTATAGACTCACATCCATTAACTTGAATCTCATTTTCTTGTAAATAACGTGAAACCTCTTCTACATCTCTGTTCGCCGTTATTGGAGATTCAACATAAAAATTTTTTTCAAATGGTGGAAGAGTAGTAATATCATAATTAACAGGTTGTAATTGTTTAGTAGATATATTTTCATATTTGTTAACAACACTTCCACTTGGTCGATAACTTCTACCATGATCACTTCTTCTACTATTTTCATCCCTCCTCTTATAATCGTCTCTTCTTTCATAATCATCCCTTCTCTTATAGTCATCTCTTCTACTATAATCATCACTTTGTCTATAGTCATCATATCTGTGTGAGTGTTCTCTACTTCTTGATCTACTTCTATCGGTATATCTATGTGAATTTGATCTACTTCTTCCACTCATGTAAAGGGTTTTGATGTATGAAGTTCTTTTTCTTTTTTTTAATTCTTTTTATTATTTTCTTTTTAGTATTTTTTATTTAGGTTTTTATGTTCCTTCTTCATAAGACTTAAAGTATTATTTTCATATGAGAAATTTAATGTGTCTTTGACCTCCTTATTACAGTATTGTTAAATCTGATAATGCAATACGAATAATTTTTATTTATTATAATATATGATTGAGTCATTAAATTAATATAAGTCATTTACTCTCATTAATTATGAAATAAAACAAATTTCTAAAAATTCAAATTATTGAATTATCATTTATCTATTACAATTAAAAAAAAAATGAAATTAAAAAATAATATTGAAGAAAATAAAATAAAAGAACTACAATTTCCTTATAACAGTTTCATTTAATATGGAATTCATTTCGTTACCAGAATCTATCAAACAAAAAATTTACCAAAACTTATTACCTTGTGACCTTATCCAATTAGGAGCAACATGTCAAACATTTCATAATTCTATTTATAATGACAATCTCTTATGTCAATTATCACTTATAGACCACTATGATGAATATGTTGTAGAAAATAAATCAGAAAATTTATTTAAATTTGAAACATTTGAAAAAAAATCTGCTTCTGATTGCTTAAACGTTATTTATCCTGAAGTTGTTAACAATTATGTAAATGAACAAAAATGTCATTTTTGTCATTTAAACTCATTTATTCCACATGCCTCTATTGATTCTACTCAACTTAGTTTAGTTTGTACATTATTTCTTTATTTTATTCCATACATTCGTTGTCTTGCTATCTTTAGTCCATTATGCATTTTTGTTGCGTATTTGAGAAATATTAAAAGTCAAATACAACCTACAATAAATAGATTATATCATATCGACAGAATAATAAAAAAACGTTTGTTTTATAATTTTATTAATCACATTGAATATATCCTCCCTTTCTTTTCTCTTCCAATTCTTCTTGGTTTAGTATTTGTTCACCCAATATTACTTCTTGTACCATTAGGGTTATTTGTTTTTAACTTTTACTTGAGACAAAAATTAGTGCCTGTTCTTATTGGTTATACGTTGTCAATTATTCCAGTCTTTATTTCAACTTTCTGTAAAACTCGTAAAAGTCGACTTGCATTACTTATGACTACTTCAATAGCCACTGTTACTCCACTAATTATAGTATTAATATCTCAATACCGTCAAAAGCCAATTAATCTATCTGAATTTGTTAGGCGTTGTATAAATGGATTATTTATTGGTGGATTTATTAGTATTATTTATGGAATGACCAATAGCCTAGAAGTTTCATTTTTTGTTATTTTTTCGATACTCGGTAGCGCCTTCATTTTATTTAAAAATAACATGAATAAATGAGTTATTTTTCAAGTCATAAGTTTTTAGTTTTTTTTAATAAGAATGAAAGTATAAAATACTTTAAATTATAAACAACTTTGAGCGATAACCTGATTAATATCATCATCATTTTTAAGAAGAACCTCTTCAAATTCTTTTTTCATTCTTTCTTTTTCCTCAAAAGAAGTTGGTAAAACTGATGGTTTTTTAAGATGAAATTCTTCAATAAAATATTGATCGATAGAACAATAAATATTCATTCATTATTTTTTAGTTCAACTTTTAAAATAAAAGTTAATAGTCAAAAAAAACTGTAATTACTTTACTTTTTTCTTTTTTAAAGTCTGCTTTCAATATATTCAACAAGTTTAGAAACACCTGGAACAAGGAAAGCATCACCAGACTCACATCTGAATACTGCCATAATAATAAGGAATATGTAAAACAAGAAGAAAATAACAGCATAGATAACGAAGATAGTATAGAAGAACCAATTATTAATAAACATTAATAACAATAAAATAAGAAGAATTGTATCTAATATAATATGCCAAAATGCACTATGACATGCAGTAAGTCTAATGTATTGATTTTTCTTTTCCATAAAGAATACAATAAGAGCACCAATAAAACCAAATGCAGTTGAAATAACAGCTAAAACTTTTAGGCTGCAACTCATACTTTTATCTTGTGGTTCTGGAGCAACATAACCATCATCAAATGGATTAGAGTCTTCAACAAGAGTCATTAGATTTTAATATTTCTAAGTTCTCATTATTTCGTTTTAAATTTTTATTTTTCATTATTTTATTAAATTTTAAATAATTCTTTTTATTCTTATTTTTTCTTTTAAAATCTAAAAGCAGAATCTATTTGACTTTCAATCGTTTTTTTACCAAAAAAAGATTTTTTTTTCTTTTTAAATTTGTGTTATTTAACTTGTTTTTTAATTTTGTTATAGAAAACTTTATTGAAAAATGTATAAATTTTTAATGTTAAAAATCTTCTCATTGTAAAACAAATCTTCTCTTCTTAGTAAAAAGAATAAAACTAATTCATATAAACTGAATATTTCAATTAAGATGTTTTAAAAACCTTCTTCTTCTTCATGAACTTCTTCATGTACCTCTTCTTCGTGAACTTCTTCTTGTGGTTGTGGTTGTTCAGCTGGAGCAGCCTCTTCACGGCGTTCACTAGAATCACCAAAAACAACACTATGTGGTTTTCCTCCAGCTCCTTTTTGAACTGTTCCAATATTTTCAGCTTCTTTCTTTGGTGCATTTAAAGCTTGTTTAATAGCAATTGAATCAGTAACAGCAGTAGCTGTAGCTTTTGGAACATGATTTTTACAGTATACAGCTTGAGTTCCTTGATCGAAAAAGAAATTCTTAAGTGTCAAATGAAGACCACATTCTTTACATTTGAAACATGCATTATGATAATCTTTACCACCAGCAGTAATTCTTTCTAATGGGTATGCACTTTTACCACAAGCAAAACACTTCTTAGCAGACATTTAATTTGTTTCTCAAATATCTCTGAAGGATCTTTATATACAATTTGCTTACGTGTACACGCGTTTTTTATATTTTTTCAACTTTTTGTGTTTCCTTCTGATATAACTTCCCGATATTATAGATATTTTTGTTCCTTTCTTAAATTATTTGTTTTATTACACTCTTTTTTTGGCAAATCTTTTTTTGAAGTTTTGAATATCTAGTTCAAATAGATCGACTTTGTTTTTTTATCCTTTTGTTTCTGAGATTTTGTTTCATAATTCTTATTTTTAGTTAGTTCCGTTATTTTTTTCGTTATGGAACTAAAAAAAACTTTCTTTAGTGATTACTTATTTTCCATGGAAAGTGTTATTATAAAATATCTCCACTTGAAAGATATATGTAATTTAATTCTTGTTAATAAAAAATGGAAAGATATTATTTCTAATATTACCGCTAACCCCAATAATGAAGAGTTAAAGAAAGAACTTAAAATCTTTCCAAAAGCAGAAGAAATTCATTGTGAAATCGAAGAATTAGAAGAATTAAAAGATGATTTAGTAAAAAGAAGCAAAGCGTTTTATATTAAATATAAAAGTTGTTATTTAAGTCAATCTAACACAGAATTTGAAATTCGAAACAAAATTAAATTTATTGAATCTACTTCAAATTGCCTATCACCTTTCAATGGGTTATTAGGAATGATTAAATTAGAAGTTATTAAAATACACATTTATTTTGATGAGACTGATAGTGATGATGAAAATGATATCACTTCATTTGAATCATTCTTTTTAAATTTGAAACAATTAACTTCATTAAAAAAGGTAATTGTTTATTGTCATTATTATGATGTTTTAACAATAATTTCTATGATTAATCTATCATGTGAAATTCTTTTATATGTTGATGAATGGTTTTGTTACAATAATGACAAATTAAATGAACATTTGAAATTAAAACCAAATATAAAAATAATTACTTTTATTAATAAATCATCTTATCCTTTTATTCAATTACCAATAAAAAATACTTATATTATTAATATCATCTTCTTTAATCAACATTTTCTTTTAGAATCTTTCCTTAAATTATATCAACCAATTCATTTACGTATTGATTGTATGAATAAGAAAGAATTTAATACTAAATCTGTAGATATTCTAAAAAAATCAACAGTTCAAACTATTCAATTAGATAATATTAGAAAGATTCCTAAGATATTTCAAAATACTTCTGTCACTATTTCTTTATCACAAATTTAATATTTATTTTTTTAATTTTTCTCTAAATTAAAAAATAAATGATAAATAGAAAAGAGCAATTAAATTTGAACAGAAAAGAACGAGAATACTTTTTATCACATAACGGTACAGCAACCACTTTTTGATTTTTCAGGACTTGGATTAAATTTCTGAGTCATACAAGTAAAAAGTTTATCCATAACTTCTTCTACTCCTACACCTGTTTGAGAAGAAATTTTGAAATATTCCATATTCAATTCTTTGGCTTTTGCTTGCATTGTTTCATCACTAATTTTTTGTTCTAAATCAGCTTTTGTTCCAACTAATATTTTAATTGGTTTTTTAATATCATCTTTTGGTTCATATAAATTAATTGGCTCAACCCAATTTTGAATATCTTTTAGTCCATTTTCATTTGATAAATCAACCATTAATAATACTCCTTGGGAATCGTTGTAATAAAAAGCAGTAATATACGAAATATCTTCCATATCTTGTGTATCACATAAAACAATATCATATTGTTTATCTTTCAAAGTAATATGTTTTACTAAACTATCAAATGATTCTTTCATATCTTCAGCATGACAATATTTTTTAACAAATGTTGTTTTACCAATGCCGTAATTCCCTACAGTAATTACCTTATATTTGATTGTTTTGTCTTTGTTATTCGACGACATGGGCAATTTAATAGTTCTTCCTTTTTTATTTTTTCTTTAATTTTACTAACTGAAAGGGTTTTTTCATATTTTTTGTCTTCATAAATTCTAGTTCTTCTTTCTTTTTCTATTTTTATTGTTTTTTTTTTAAAAACATTTTTTTTCGTTTCATTTATTATATACTTCCTCCTTTCTTGTTCTTGTTTATCTTCAAATGACATGTTTCAAAACAATCATATCTACTTCAAAAATTTTATTTCATTATTTCTTAAACTAAAAATTTTTTCCTTTTAATAACATAATTAAATAACAAAATTTTATGCAATCATAAAAATCAATTTATGCGAAGCTTTTTATTTCGAACATTCAAGACGAAGAGTTTCTCCATTGTTAATTAATAACATAAGATCGCAACAACCAATAAGAACTTTATGCTCTGTCTCTCTTCTTAAATAGCATTTGGCTGATGGGTCAATATCAAATATTTCTTTCAATGAATCAACTACCTCTTGAGCAGTCATTCCTGGAGTAATATCCATAGACTCAGACTTTCTGGAATATTTAACTGTTAACGTCTTACAACCAGCTGAGCAAATAGCCAAAGGTGCAACCACAACAACATTTTCTTTTTCAGTCTTTGGATCAATGCGTGGGCGTTTACCTCCACCAGGGATGTTATTTATTTTTGGTTTTAGGGCAATTCCTTTTGCAGCACAAAAGTATTTACAGCACTTCAAATGCCTTCTTAAATTTTCTGGTTTGGCTCTAATCCTAAATAATTTATTATCTCCTCCTTTATCACTTTCAGCCTTACAATACTTACAAAAAGCATAATCACATCCATTAATTTTCCTTGGAATCTTTTCAAAATGTTCCATTACATCTCCCTTTAAAGGAACAATTTCATTAAATTGTGCAGTTTCAATTACTGGAGCTTCATTTGCTTCAGTACTTTCAGAAAGTTGTTGTGATGTTTCACTCTCGCTCATCTTCTTTTCAAGATGATTTAGGACATTTTCTTTCTTCTCTATTCTCCTTCTTTTTATAATCTCGATAAAACTTAAAAATTCAAGGTATAGAGTCGAGAAGTATTATATTCTTATTATATTTTTCTATTCTTTTTGTTAGATTGTTCTTATTTCTTTTAAACATAAACTAAAACTATAACAAAATATTATTTATTTAGAAAAATAAATAAAATCAGATAAGATTGTCGAGTTTTCACCAGGATTCAGACGAAACACGGAATCAAATCATCATCTCATTTTTTATTTTAAAAAAATGTTTTAACCAAGTTATTATTACCAGTATATTTTATTAAGGTTTTAATATGAAGAATAATATTTTATTAATTTTTTATAGTTTATAAAAAAGTTATTAAATATAACAAAAAGAAAATATGAAATAAGATAAAATTGTTATATTTTCTTTAAAAAGTGATAAAGACGTTTTGTAATACTTTCTAAAATTAATTAATTTAATGTATGAATAAAGAAAAAAAGAATAGTAAAAGTTACCTGTTATTTAAATACACCTAATTAATGAAAATACAGTTGTTATTTTGTAACAATAAAAAAAAGAAAATAATATTCTATTAAATAATTTATATATTGAAAGAGTAGGATATTATTTTGTTTTTTGATTATTGTTTCACTAAATTCTTTTTTTTTAGTATTTTGTGACTATTGATTTTATTCAATTAATTGCAGTTTAGCTATTTGTTATGAATATTTACTATTTATAGTTAATAGTTAATCTATTCCAAGTATTTTTTATTGAATATTAATTGAAGAAATACTTGTATTAGAATAAAATTATTAATTATATTATTTCTTATTTATTCATATTATAGAAATAAAATGATAATATTTTAATAATTAATAAAAAACAAGGTTTATTCTTTTATTAATTAAACTT